TTTTTCGATGATTCTGCGGTCCCAAAAACATGCACCAGTCTGGGCAGTTGTACAGCTCCCTGAATGAATGCTAAGCAGCTTCGGCTGCCGTTGACGCTGAGTTTTTCCGCCGGCTGTAGCAATGTTGTGCGCTGCCTTGCCTGTTGCTTCGCGCTTCTGGTGCAGGGACTACTCACAAAACCCAACAAACCTTTGGGGACTACCTGGACCTGGATGTGCCTTCCTTCTTGGGGTTCTGTCCCACATTTTTGTAGAGTATATCCCAAGAAAGTAGGTTATCCAGGGTCCAGGTAGGGACTTCATCCTTGCGCTGCAGCAACAGGATGCCATTGTCTTGATGAGCAACGGAGAGGTGCACAAGGCCAGATTGACCAGCCACAGTAGGCCAGTAAATGAGGGACCCAACATAAGCCCCAATATGATATAGTACAATCCTTATAATTTGGGGCCTCCAGAATCTCAGAAAGAGTCCCGTAAGTGCTGAAAAACCTAAATCCTTGTAAACCCCTACATAATACGAGTTTCTATTTCATTTTGGATGATTTCGTGGAGGTATCCCTGATCTTCGGTCCTCATGGGTACCAAATTTTCTTTTTCTGGTATTACCTAGTAGCTACTACTTATAACTTATAACTGGGCTTCTAACTTTCCTTATATAATCAGCCAAAATGGACTTATACAGGTGCCCCAATTATAAGTAAGGTTTCGGACTACACCATGAGGCTCACGGGGCCTTCGACGCTTGTTCTCGCTACCTTCACACCCTTCTTCTGCGCGCTTTCTTACCGGGTACCTGGGTTCGGGGTTCAAGCCCTAAACCCTAAAACCTTAACTGTATGGAATCCGGAACTTGCAATTGCAGGGTTCTCAGGCAGGCAAGCCAGCTCCTGGCTTTCCAGGTTACATGGCCCTTGTGAGCTGAAGCTGTTTGTTGGTAGATTGACGCTGTCTCCGTCTGGAGCAGGTGCGAGGTTCTTGAAGCTTTGGAAAGACATCCTGCCTTTTGCACTTCAAACCTGAATCACGATCCCATCACAGAATAGCCCTGCAGGCAATGACAATGCCCAGCAGCGGTGGAGGCAGCAAAAGCAATTCCTGCAGAAGCTCGGATCTACCTCATGACTGACAATTCTCCTCACGCAGAGCTTCACCACACGAAGCAACATAAGAGAGACCTCCGGCACCGACCCTCCACGTCGGGGCTGCATTATATTAACATATGGAGTTTTTGTGCTGCTTGTTGGCCCCTTAGCCCGCAGATCGTTTTCAGCACGCCAGCCCTTCTAATACGAGACAGCATTTACACTGAAGAGAATTGACATGTTTTTCGGGCTGCTACGCTGTGTACGACCGTGCAGACGCATCACAACACACAGGGAGCAGTACTGCCCGAGCTGGCAAGGATCAGTCCTTTCACCCCCCATGAGAACGATTCAATTTGTTGAATCCGTCTTCATAAATTTTATGCTACAAGCATTGCAAAGTTTTCAGCCCTGGCAGACCGCCACTCAACCACGAAGTGTTTGTGGGCTCCAGGTGGTTCGGTGAACCTGGAACTTCCGCCAGAGCTTGACATGGAGCCAGGGGTTGGCTCGGGCACCGGGGTAGAGCCTGAAACCTTCTGCGGATCAGAGTCTCCATCTCGTGCCTAAATTCCCAAACTGGAGACGGGGGGTGTTGAGAGCTTTGATGTCGGATTCGGGATGAATGCGACTCAGATTGTCGCAACTAAGAGTCTACCATCTGCGTACGGCCATGAACGCCCGCTGAGGACACAACCAAAACAGCGCAAGCAAGTTGCGATACGGTGCCTTGTACGCCTTTTGCACTATGGTCAGTCCTAATTCATCTTGGCGTCATGACCCGCTTCTTCTCTGATGCCTCCACAGACAATTGTTGGAGTTTTCATAGTCGTACTCCGGGGATTCTAAGGATGAGCATGTGAGGAAGTCATCGCGATGTTGCCAGCAAGGGGATAACCTCTCAGATCTTCGCCTGAGTCGGTCCAGCAGAAGAATTGTAGTTCTGCGCACTTGTCATTGCCAGTAAAAATTGTTGCCTTTGCAGAAGGCTACAACAAGACAAAGCGTCTGTTCAGGCCTCCATTGGCTGAAACCACTGTTGAAACTGACGCCCAATTCCATTGCTTTGTTATTCTGGAGGAGCTTTCCATCGTCACGCGTGGTTCATCGAAGCGCAAGAACACAAAGAAGCGCCTCGTCCATTCTTTGGGTTTCGGTCGCCGCCTGCTATACTTTCGTAACACTGTATCATCATGCCATGTTCAGCTTAAGGCGCCCAAGAAGCATGGGCTGCATTCGACCAAGCTAGCGCATGCAAAAGATGGGCAAGAGAAAGTGGCTTGCTTCCTCACATCAGGCCCATGGTCCAAGCCGAAGTCTAAGCACGCACAGGCTACTATGTATTTCTTTTCCTGCAAGGGTCCGAAGCCAGGCGTAACGGTGCGATGGTGGCACATCACGATGCTGCGGAGGACCAGACTTTTGTTCCCGGTGGTACGAGGTGACTTTTGTGTGTCCGGAGCGGAACCGTGAATAGGAAGGGAAGGTCCTCTTGCCTGACAAATGCCGAACACGAGCGTAGACCCTAAAAATCGGCAGTAAGCACGAGGCGATATCGTCGGCAGGAAGCATCAACTCGCTGCATCAGGCCGCGGAACGCAATACCAGCACCGTTGATGGCCGGCGGCTGCTGAAGGCGTTGCTTCCGCATGGCGGATTCCAGGCCAGCTTTGCCTTGCGGAGTTTGACGTCAGTCTTTGTGAGCTTTGGGGTTGTCTTGCACAATCGATGCCATTGGTCCGCATTTGTGCCTCGCAAACTACGGCCTGGGTGGCCTTTACCGGATTAGACGGCCCTAGACTGCTGCATTCGGGCGATATTGAGCTCCAGTATGGTCATATCAGTATTCACGGATGTCGGCGTTTTAGTTGCTTTGGTCAATGATGGTCATGCCTTGCGAGCCCGCATGCTTGCGAGTGCGCACCGAAAGGAGGTATGGTCTTATTGCGCTTGTGATGAGCTTTAAGACAGTCTTCGTTGGGAAATGCATATGTGAGGCATCCCAGTTTGAGGCTAGTGGAAAGGTATTATTCCGAGCTCTCCGGGCAAGCCTGCTTCAAACCCTGGACATGGCATTCGCATTCCCTAGCTGGAGCTCCTATCAGGAAGCCTGAGTCACCATGCCTGTTGATTCTCATATCTACTAACCGAATTGAAGCGCAATGTTCTGATTTGCTCGCCTTCCAGGTTGTGCTGAAGGGCTCCATTGAAGACACGGTGCGCGGAGTCCAGTTGGGGATTGGGTAGGAAGTCACGCTTTCTTGAGTCTAGCGTGTGTACTTACCGGATGTGGGCTTCAAAGCCCCGCGGTAAAGCAACAGACTGCCTTAAAAGAAGTCCACCCCAACCTTGTATTATCGCCATGAAGCCCTACTGCTCAGTTTGCATCCCCGAAGGATCAATAATTAGCAATCTCGTTTGCAGTACACAGGAGGCCCAAAATCCCAACGTGCGCGGACAACACGCCTTTTGGGGTATTCCTGCGAGTAATTGCAAGTTATTGTGGACCATGATGAATATCTATTCCCTACCAAGCCATAAAGCATCATTCTTTCAGTGCCGCCAAATTAAATCCATCCCAGTCAATGGCTGGCCAAAACCACGACAACCCGATTCACTCAGCTTTAAATCGTCTGCAGATAAGTTCTACGATGTAAAGCGTCACCTCAAGCTGAGCTTGGTGCGGCCTGTCGCGCCAGAATCCGTGTAAAGCCACGAGGCACAATGGGCGGCACCATTCCCAATAAAGCGTCCATCACCCCAAGGTTGCTAGTTCCGTATTGACTTTCGGAAAGCGTCTGGCCTGGCCGGCGTTGAGATCTTCATGTCTTTGAGAACATTTGTTGAGCTTGTAGCATGCGCATCCCAAACTCTCGCTCCTGCATCACACTTCAAACTTTCAGCTTTGCTGCGAGGAGCTGGGCTGAAAGAGGTTTGTGCATTGGACTGGAAGTCGTTGTTTATCATGAAAGCGTTCTTTTTTTTGCACTTCTTTGTTCTCCGACTTCTTTGTTCTCCGACCCTCCCACAGCAGCATGTGTTGAACGATGTGTGTCTATCGGTAGCAGCAGCTAAAAAGACGGCGTGAGCCATCGCAAGTCCAGCCTTGCATTTATGAACGTAAGCTCTAACCTTTGAAAAAGCTGTGCAAAAAGCAAAGCTTACTTTGAAAGGTTCTGGCACTTCTTGCCATATGTAGTTGCTATTATTCAGAACTGGCAGCACAGAGGAGTAAGCGGCCTGGAAAAATAAAAATGCATTGTCAAGCCAGAGGCAGAAGCTAGTACGAGCCTTCAAAGTCAACTAGCTTGGCCAAGGCCCGCCTCGAACAGTACCCCCCCCCCCAGAACTACAGGTAGGCCTCCAGCCGGCCGTCACACCGGCAGTTTCGGTGGGAGACCCAGACGTCTCTCCCTTGCTCTTCAGACTTCTAGAGGCGGTCCTCCAAAGTGCATGAAAGAGAGGCTCGCCAAGCATGCATCCAATGGCTTGGGCCTTTGCCGGGCCTTTGCGCTGTAGGGAACCGAAGTTAAGAGTTGAAGTTGACATGTCGAAGCTTCTCCCACACCTGGAACACTCCCGGATCCTTGAAGCTGAAGGCAGCTGCTGCGGCCGTGAGCTCTGGTCTTACCAGAAACATGAAGACCGTCGAGAAAGGGTGGATGCAGGAAATCTTCTATCACACCTGGATAGGACCCGAATATACTGTCATTCCGATAGGGTAGAAGGTATATTGGGTGGTGCAAGATTCCCTCCATCTGCAGTAGGATGTGTTTAGAAGCTCTTTCTGGGCAATGGATGATCCAATGTAGACTGATTTCAATCACATGGACTCATGTCGTTGGGATTCTGCAAAACCAGCCATGGCAATTGCATGGCAGTAGGGAGAATGTCTTCTAGTGCTGCGGGAGATGTGAGATGTCCAACCGCGCGTGTGGTCACAACACGCGCAAATTTCAGAACCTTGCCTTCAGACCAGGCTAGACCCTGAACTCGACCTCGCGTTTTATTTTCTTATCCGTTTTGAGGCCGCCGGGGCGGCAAAGAGGGTGTCCCGCCCGTTCTCATTGTGTCTGGTGAGGCTGCGCGTTTCTTTCAGCCAGTTGGAGTTTGGTGGCTACATTACATTGGTTAGAGTGAGATTGGCGACTAATCCTAACAGGTTGCTCATGCCGCGGCTTTGTGGGCTTTTGATTTGTGAAGGGATTTTGCTGGGTGAGTGGTTTCATTTTGTCACTTTAGAGTTAAGGATGATTGTAAGTGCCAGTAGGACTTGGAGTTTACTTTGCTTTTTTTTTTTTTTAACCGTAGGAGCTGATATCAAGTCCTGTGGACGTTTTCTAGAACTACTGGTGTTCCTATCTTCGCTAGGTTCGCACATAGTTGCATTGAACCGTTTTACTCGTACCTGAACCCCTGTATAAACACTAGTTAATCAATGAGAAGCCATGAAATATCAACACAAAAAGTATCGTGCCCCCAAACCTGCCCAAGGAATTCGGAAGGTCTTCCGGTGGACTCATGTCGGCTAGAGGTAGCTGGTATCTAAGCCAACTAGTGACTCTCTTGACAGCTTAGAGGTCCAGGGGACCTGCAAGTAGGTTGTACATTGGGTTCTACATGGGCATACCCCGATAAGGGTACTTGTAACCTATTGTAACCTACTTGTGACTGTGCGTCTGAGTAAGGCCAGAACATACTGATCGTTTCAGCTTTGGGTAAGAAGAGGTGCACGCTATGCACTGACTTCTGAAACTGGATTTCAGCATGCGGATCTTGTGCCTGAAGGAAGCCATCTTTGATCCCCATATCCCCAGACCCAAAACTTAGCCTGGAGGCATTTGCTGCCCTGGCGATTTCGCAGGGGCTGCCAGCCCCGCCTGATCCGCTGCAATACGGGGCGCGATGGGGCCCCACCATTGGGATCGTGGCTGGAGCTTTACATCCGGCAGACTAAGCTGATAGGGTTCTGGGCTCAAGGGATTGGAATCAGAAGGTCAGCTGTCATTGCAGATGTGCCCTTCTTAACAAAAATCCTAATCAAAACTCAATTAACAGCAGGCGCATGACGACGAAGCCCTGGTGAAGGAGGCTGGGCCCCTTGCGCGAAGCGAATATTATGGACATCTACAAGCTGGGGTATTTCAGTCTTGGAACATTTTCAAAGTATTCTGGACCCCTAAAGATTAAGTGTTAAAGTAAAACATATCCCAGATCATCGACATCTACAAATATGCGGAATCGTGTGACGTGTTTGGCTCTTGGATTGGGAGGGGCTTTATCCCGGTATAGTCAGCTTTTGATTCCTCGATGGATTGAAGGTCCAGTGTGTTGACAGGATGACACGCCCCCATTGGTTTTCCTGAACACGTCCTTTCCAAACAGCTCGCCGCATAGTTTGTATTTGAATTGGTTTTAGCTGCCCCCAAGTAAGCCCATCGCTGCGGAATTCTTACCCCCAGACACAAGTACAAACCATTGTCAAAGTCTCTGCAAGCTCGAATGAAGCTAGAAGAGGCAAACCTTCTTTCGTACCCCCTTTGTAAGTCTGGCTTGCAGCCAATAAAATCTGGCATTCCATAGCAATGGCTTTTTCCTGCAGGTCGGTCACGAGGTACAGATTCTGACTGAGGCTGGCCATGGCAAGGGATTCAAGGTTGGTGTATGGGCTCCCTTTAAAGGGGTTATATGCAAGGTTTCTACAAGGCTACTTTGGGAATTTACCGGGGCTATATATATATACACATGTATATGTATATATCATAGACACACACTATGTATATATGTACTATACATTCAATATATATATATATATACATTTCATTTTTCATTCAATATTCTATGTTCAACATTATATATGAAACTATATATACGATGTATTCTGTTCTACTCTATTCTACTAATTCTATTCTATAATATAGAACTCTACACATATTGTGTATATTATGTATTATATATATATATGCATTGTATATGTATATATGGATGATATAGTGATGGCAGGAGTATGGCATGCTCCTGGAGTTGTACCGAGGTTTGCGGCAGGCACCAGGGATTTAGGGATTTGGGATTTTAGGGTTTGTTTCCGTGTTCTTGGGTTTGGATATGGCAGCGAAAGGACGAGGAGCATTTGAAAGTTTTGGTTTGAGGCGAAAATGTTGACCAAACTTAGGTTTCGAATTCTGGCGAGCACATGCTGCGGGCCCAATCTACGGATTTTAACTGAACTCTGGCGACTTTGAAGAATGTACAGATAGTTGCGGGACTTTTTGGAGAGTCAAACCTTCGTAACATAAACCTACATATTTTGTGAGAATTTCACAATAGCTACCAACATTTTGGGACGACAATCTTCTCTTGAACATCTAGGCATTGTTGCAGGATGCCACACTTTTCTTGGTTGCAAAAAGCATGAAGATCTTGCAAAACAACAAAGACCTGTACAAAGAGTGCAATAGGTTGGCAAAAATCCGCAATCAGCTTTGGGAAAAGTGTGTCTTTGTTGATGTCGGGATGTTTGCGGATCTGCAACAACAACGAGAGGTCACACAAGCCCAGTTTAGTCAGGCCAGCCATGTGAGGGTAGCAGTGCAGCAGCAGACAGGCTGACATCTGCACGCTGATTAAGTCACTGACATTTTGTAGAACTGCCAGATGCTGCAAGACTGGGATATTCTTGGGAGTTTTTCTTTTCTTATGGAGCACAACCCCTGTCCATGCCCTTGAAAGCCATAGCTAAGAATTTTACAGGCCTTCTAGACCTGTCAGCAAAGCTCGTTTGAGTACATCATTATCACAAAGACATATGCCAGCGGTCCAACTTCTCACACGGAGACGAGGGAAGGATTAACTAAAGTGCCCAGCTGCCCTGAGCGCTCTGCTCGGATTTGGAAGCCTTGGTACCAATCTTAGGTCTTGAATCCACGGCCAGTGTTGAATCCCTTTCCCCGGCACTCCGCGCAAACAGCTTGAGGCATCTAGTTGAAAGCTCTCGTGCGATTTGTGCACTCAAGTTTACGCGCAGCGACCCAGCTGCAGGATCTCAAGCGGACGCTGCGCTTAGTGCCCGACTACAACACAGACGAGCTACGAGGTTGGTCTCGTCAGCCTGAGGGGGGGGGCTGTGGCACAATGGAGCAGGGCATAGGTGTCTCGGGCTCAATGAAAATGCGATATGTAGTTTGTTCTGGGTCGTTGCCGTTCCTGATGTTTCTCCAGTTTTTTTGATTGCATGTTTTCAAATTTCGTGGTTGTTGGATATCATGCATGAATTTTGGTGTCAGGTCATTCATCCCCAGAAGCCTTCGTCATACTGGTGTGCGCTTCACTGTTGCTGCATTTTGTATTATGCAGCCAATAGGTGCTGTTGTCAACTGAAGGATTTGGCGCCAGTTGCAAGGGGAAGTTTGGACAGAAGCGAATGTATGATTGGCTTCAGCAAGTATCGCACGTGCAGAACCTGCAAACCATCTCAGGCGCATTGCAAAATGTCATGGTGCTGGACACTGAAGAGCGTGTCTTGGTGCTCGGGGCTTGGCATATTTGCCCGACAAGATGTTTTTCGCCCATAGAGTGTGAAGAGGGACCCCTGAAGGGTCCAAAAAAGGTGTCTCCCCGCAGGCATAGCCTTTTGCGCGAAGCTGCGAAGACATCGGGGGGATCACCCCTGATATGCATGCTCTTAACTTCAAACTGAAGGCAAGACACGGCTCGGGATTCTGAAGTAGCAATGGAGATTTCAATTAATCACTTGCGTATTTCTCTTCTGGCCGAGCATGGTCCGATGAGCCTTGCACTAGTGGCCTGAGAGTTGTCTGGATAATTGACCTGGTTCCCAAGCGAAGTGCCTTGACGTCTGGACTTCGTTGTGTGCACATTTCATCACATTTCAGTTGAGGCCAGCGCCTGTCCTTGAGACGGAGTTCATCGGCCTAGGCGAAGGCGCCCTACATGTCCACTTTAAGCCCGAGCCACCGCTTCCGACGTCAGAACCTTCTTCGCCAAAGTTAAGGAATTTATGTTCGGGTTTGCATGTTGGGTGAGAAGGCTTGCTTCATTGTCATTGTCTGCGAGCTCCACACATGGTGTTGATTGAGGAGTGCAACACCTGATGTGGCCGCAGCTTTTTCAGCAACAGTTGTACGTAGAAACGGGACTTCCGAAATGATCCGCAACAGTTAAACCCTGAACCCTATATAACCCATTATAGTAGTTTCCATTTTCTTTTCCATTGTCCTTATATATACCCATTATGGTAAATCAGCAATGATGTTGGCATGTTCGAGACGGTCTCGCAAGTTGCTATCTGATCAAAGCAACAGGCTTACGTGCAGAAAGCAGAGTCCCTGCTGCCAGCACCCACCCTCACCTTGTCTTGCAGAGCAGACACTGCAGGGGCCTACATGGTTTCGAATATTGTGGTCCCAACTTCTGTGTGTGATTATGGATAATTATGGTATGGGGTAGCTCAAGAAGACGTCAAAATGATATTCGATTAGGATTCTACATTGCCCTCATTTGCGCTCGCATGCCTGCAGAGTCGCTTGCCCACCGCCTGCTTGGTGAAAGCATTCGCCTCCGCCCCGGGCAGCTGTGCCCAGAGGTGCGATCGATCTGGGGGTTGTTCTGATAGTCCTTATAAACCCTTATGATGAAAAGAGGGGCCATTGGGAATACACTTCCTTAAGCGAAGATCCCATTGGAAAAGGGAGCCTACTTTGTGGCAATTTTGGGAGGCATGTTGAACCACTAGTACCTCTATGAGCATCTTGCTGTTCAAATTAACCACACATTATCCCATATAACCACAAGTTTCCATTTCGTTTTCCGGTTTTCCATGTGATCCTCCATTGATTCTGCATTATAGCAGTTTCGATTCTTAATGGACACCCGAAACCTGAAACCCTAAATATCCATATACATGTATGTGTATGTACACTACCCGCAGTGAGCCTGGCCCCGATCTAAACCATGGCGACCCTCAAGGTGGAGCGTGCCAGGTCTCGACTATGGCAGCAAGACCTCATGGTTCATGAAGGAGTTCACTGAACTCATTATAATACGTGTCCGTAGACTGGGGTTCCTGTAATAATACGGGTCCCTACATGGCTTTGCTCCCTACATCGCTTTGCTCCATTCTCTTAACTGTAGTTTAGGCCAAGTCCCATGAAGACATGCCAACAACTGCCAACAGGTGCTCTGCCAAGTTCTGTCCGGAGTGCGTGGAGCGCCCTACTTTGGCAAAAACCGCGGCTCCCATGATTTCTACCGCTGCTTGGCCTTGAATATTCTTTGGAATGTTTCTTACACGTAAGCGTTATCGCGCGGCCGCCTCGGCTGCTGGAGTGCAGCCGGAAAGAGATTGAGATGCTCTTCGGAAGCAGTCATACAAGGTTGTTTTGACCAGCACTCAGATATTTTGACCAGCACTCAGATACGTGTGAGGGTCGCATCGCGCCAGTTAATTGGATATCAACATGGAAGCGGAGCTCTCAGAGTATCGGTGTTTCTTTATCGGATTGGTGAGGGGGTGGGCATGGTGGGGGTTGGGGGGGGAATGCAACAAATGCCCTTACTCTCAATCTGAAGCCTGGAAGTCATGAAATTTTCTTCTTACTCGCTGTGGCGTGACTGGCCCTCCACCACGGGAAGGGGGTGAGTCGGGTTGCCACGGCTTGCGGCGGGGTCAGCAAGGGGGAGCAAAGGAGGTGTTAGGCTGGATCAGCCTCGGCGAGCATTATGGATCATGACCACTATAGAGTTGGAACGGTAATGCTACAAAGCAACGCCATGTTCAAGATCATGGATCCATTCATTGATTTCAACGGTTGGAGTCTTGCATCACCGCTCCACATACTGAGGCCACACGTTGGGCTTCAGCCTCACTTTCCGTGGATCGCACCGACAGCGCGCAGAGGCTACTGACAAGACCAAAGCCCTCCCTAATGGGCCCTTTGAATGCGTACCTTTTACATGAAATCTGTTGAGGGCGCTATCATCCTAGACCCTCCAATTACCCCACTAAGGCCTAAGTACTTACTATTCATGAGCCTATAACCCGAATCAAGGGTACCAGGAGGGTTTTGGATCCAGAGTACAGTTTCACAACTCAGCAAGCAATGCATGTCCTTCAGGTTTGGAAGGCTGGGCCCTGGCCGCCTTTTGGACCCTACACAAACCTTACACAGCCAGAACAAGCTGATGTTTCCAGCCTACCCGAGCTAGGGGTGAACCTGAAAGCATTTCAGGGCTGTAGGGAGCCGTTGGAGGCCCATCTGCCGTTCCTGCGGCCGCTGTTGGAGACGATGCTGCAGCCGGCGCACAGAGTTTTTCTTACCTCTGGTTTGTAGGGAATGGAGGAACGGAAAAGAGCATGTCACGTGTTCTATTTTTGGGGAATAAGCAGGAATACTATGAGGATCCACTCCCGTCCTTCATCCCTAGCTAGCCAGAGATAAGTTTCAAAGGTAGCGTTCAGGGACTCCGCTGGCACGAGTCACAAGCAGCCCCGCCAGGAGTGCAATTGCTTTTTCCTCACTTTCCTGTGGGCGCGGGCTGACGGCCAGCGCTACCACACAGACGCTTGGCTTTTGTTTCGGTTGATCGTACGAGAAGGTGACCACGGTTTGGCCAAGGGTACATAGTGCCACATGATTCATGATGTGCATGGGCTAGGTTTCCTGAGGACGCTTGAGGGTCCCATACCTCGACCTCGTTCGCAGTCACGAATGCAACTCGGAATGACCCTGGTTGCCCCACTAGCATGACAAGGATTTGCACAAGATCAACTCTTTCAGGGGTAGGTTGAAAGTTATTCTTAATTTCTATTGCCCTTCATCCCTGCATACTCCCTCTAGAGCCATAAGAAATTGATTTTTATAGGACCAGACCTATTTTTCCCCAAGATGCAGCTGCTGCCCAGGACAACTACTTCGAGAACTTCTGCGGCTATCCGAGGCCGAGCGATGTGGTTTCCGTGGCATACCTGGAGGCGGATGAGGAGGCTGATCCAAAAGCTCAAGAAGACCTACCCTTGAGGGTTTCGGGTTTTGGGAATAGACAAGAAAATGGGAAACTATGATAATGGAGAGTCAAATGAAAGTAGGGTGGACTACTGCGGTATTCCTGTTTACTTTTAAAACCATTATGGACCATATAATCCCTTTATGTATGTATGTATGTATGTATGTATGTATTTATGTATGACCTTGTAAAACCCACAGGAACTACATTTTCATAGGGCCTCTAGGCCCTACGTCTATCCCACGGTAAACCTAACCAGGAACCATTTCCTACTCCTCAGCATGGTCGACTCAGTCAAGCTTTGGCAGGCCATGGTTGGGGGTGAGCTGGTCGTACTGAAGGCGGGAGGGGTTGCTTGGGAATTTGCCATTTGTTAAACGTGCCGAGGCAACGTGACTGTCGCGGACTCCAGTCTACAGTCAATGAAGCATTCTTGCTCGATGCTCAACCCATTCACACATGCTTCAGAAAAAGTCTCTGAGTCCATGGAGATGCCCGATGCTTAAGCAACTGACGTGTCATCAAGAACATGTCCCAACCAAGCCTGGTGCTGGCCTTTGAAACCTGACTTACACCCAAAGTCGCTGGGCCAGGCATCGGCGGAAGAAGCTGGCCCCGTCCGCATCGGAAACGAAGCATCTGGACAGGCTGGGCCTTTGTGCAGTCTTATATCCCACGTACACAAGACTCCGTACACAAGACTCCCGCATGACGCGACGTACGATTTAAGCAGGCAGTTGATGTGGCTGTCGCAATGATCTGTGAAGAGCATAGCTGCTACCAAGGCGGGCTCCTGACAAGTGTAGATGTCCTGCTTACATGGGTCACACGAAAGATTAGCGTGTACCGAATAACTTCCGGTGATTCGGAGAATTGTGGACCCCTGCGCTAATCAGGATCCAACACCAGGAGGGTTTGTGCAAGGTTTCAAGAAACATACTCTCAAGCCTTCTTGTTGATTGAAGTTCTCAAGCTGGTAGCCCAATGCCAAGCCAGGCGATGCGACCCAAGGTGTGCCTGCATAAGCCCTATATGAACCTCGGTTTCCATTTCATATTCCGTTTTCCTTTTCATCTGATTCTCCATTATTTGAGGCAACATCCCCATATAACCCCTGCACTGTCCGAATGTAGCCCCTATTGTTAGTTTCCAGCTTCTTTTCAAGTATAGTAGTTACCCCGACCGTGATTTTCCATTTTCTTTTCCATTGCTTAAACCCTAAACCCCTAGTGGCCCTAGTAGTTTCTTTCCTTTTTCCCCTACTTAACCACACATATAGCCCTATGTAGCCCCATATCTACCCTATGAGTTCCCATTTTCTTTTCCATTAAAGTAGTTAAGCCTGCCCTAGATGGGGACCCTAGTAGCCTCAATTTTCTTTACCCCTGTATATACCCTGTTCCCTAAACCCTGAAACCCTGTTTCGTAAACCCCCAAAACCCAGATGGGGACGCCAGGTGTTGCAGATGGTGCGGCCGAGGCCCGGCGTGTCTTTGCGTTCGGAGCGGGTCATTGTCCTGGAAGTACCGACTTGGGGAAAATTAAGGTCCCTGTAAACAGGTATGGGGGATAGTGAGGGATTCTATAGGGTTTAGGGTTTTCCAACATTGAGGTTTCCCCTTTTTGAAGGTCCCCATAACCAGGATTACAGCCTATTGGGATGTACATTGGGGTTTCACCACATAGAAATTTCAGTCAGTTAGCAATGAACTTGCGGCTCGTAGCTAAAAAAGACAGCACGCTTGATGGGAACCTGAAGCCTCTTGCAAGGAAGCAATCGGTTCAGGGTCTAGGGGTGTAGGGTTTAGGGTCGGGGTTTAGGGTCGAGGGTTGACGGTTTAGGGCTAGGCGTCTCTAACGCGCCTAGAAAAGAGCAGTCCTTCGAGTTCATAGCCATAGCGGTCCCAGCCCCGACTGAGCCTCCATCACCGTAACTACCCGGCAAACAGTGCACATGGGGAGTTCCCTAAAATCATGTTAATGTAGGCCTCTATATAGTGGAGTTCCTATCATAATGCTGTTCCTATCATAATGCGGGCCCCCCAAAACAGATTGATAAACATGGGGGTGACCAGTTTTGCGTTCGGGTCGGCTTGTCAGGAACCTAACCTTCCATGAGCCCTTTGCGGACTCGTCAGGAATTGAAGCCTCGCTTGCTGTAGGCTGAAAGTGCAGCTGTGAATGGCGTCTTGCACGTTTTAGGGCTAGGTCTTATATTAAATGACGTTTTGGGAACAGTAATTCAGGCCAAGTCCAACATGTGGTCACATCAAACTTTGATCCTTGCCAGCCCCGGTCTGGTGGTGGACTTTGACGGTCGACTCCTGCATGGCATCCGCCCGTTCACCGGCCCTGCGCGAGTTGCTTGTCTAGATCCTGCGAGACCGAACAGATTCTGAATGAGTGATCCTGCTAGCCGTACATTTCTGGGGAACATTTGCGTGCTCATGCTTTTCCTCTTGTGGAATTCTGCATTCAGCTGAGTGCTCTAATGTTCATCACAGCCGGCCCCGTTTCAGGCCAGGCGTTTTTACATGATCCTACTCTCGACACACTATCTGGACTGTAGATGTTTCCGTATTGGTGGACGCGATCAACTTGGGCCCCCATGCTTTGGCCAGGAGTTCAGTGTGGCAGCACTGAAGGTCCTTTCTGTTATGGGCATCGCGCGTGAATTGATGGCGTTGTTGGCGTCATATCTCCATGTAAACCCCAGTTTCCATTTCGTTCTCCATTTTTCTTTTCCATTAGGTTTCCAGTATAACCCCTACATATCCATATATATATATACCCCTTCATCGAAAGGCACCTAGGGTCCCTGTCCAGTGATGTCATGCCAAGCCTGATGCTTTCAGGTAAGTGCTGTGCTGGAACAATGCCGCCTTCCGCGCCAGATTGCATCTTTGTCTGACCCACGCCCCGGTAAGGTGAATGAGCTAACTCCAAAAGGGTTCTGGTGAAGACGTGAACCAAGCTTTTACTTGACGGACTGATGCTTAATGGCAGGCAAGCAGGCAAAGAGTAGGTGCATATGCCCTTTGAGCTTTGGACTCGTGGATTGTTAAACGTGGGTTTCATTGTCGGGCCTACGAGGAAACATGGGGAAGGCTTTGTACAAGAGACTCTTCCATAGCTACGTAGAAGCAGGTGCCATCATCAGCCAGCCTAGAGGCCTAGAACTCCCGGAAGTTCTTTCATGTATGCACGTTCAGAACCAAATCCTGAGACACGTGAACGCATGCTGCAGAGGCACGAAGAACGCCACGATTGCGCGTCTTCTGCCAGAGGAGCAATGAGGAGGTGACCCTGGCCTAGCTGCGGCCACTGACAGCTTGGATGACGAGCTCGCGCAACTCCGAGCTCAGAGGAGCTTTGGATTTTCAACTGTCATGTTGCTGAGATGAAGAGCTCGTGATCCTCCTGCTGGTCCAGGCAAGACATTGCCTCGGTGCAGGGCTTGGATTGCAGCTGGTGGTCCACACAAGGGGAGGTTGCCTCCTGCACTCTGGCACCGGCTTGTGGAAGACGAGAAGCCGCTTTTCCAGGGCCCCTGAAGTAAAGGGGCAAAGTAGCCGGCTGAAAGGAGCGCGGAGTGCAGAAAGAAGAAGCCACTTGCATTTCTCATCCATAGCTGCTGCTCTGGCTGACTTGGGTCGCTGGCCTAGCAAAAAGTTGAAGCCCTGCTGTTTGTAATTTTCCATGGTTGGCGAAGAGTGCTTGTGTTGTCAGGCTCCCATGGATGGGGAAAGCCCAATAGAGACACTCAAAATAATCTAGTCCTCATTAGTATGGGGTTCCCAAGTATATTGGAAGCCTGAGGGTCAGGATGCCGTGCCGACGCCCATTCTTACCAGGAATTGTGTAAGGTGAATGCAGGAGACTTCGCAAAACATCATCAACATCGCTGCATTGCTTGAGTTAAGGGGGAGGCACCCTGACGCATGTTCACCTTCTGAACAAATGGCAGGATAATTCGACCTGGCACGCCTAAAGACTTGTGTAGCAATTTATAGAAACCTGCCCAAACCGCGGAAGCGCATGCAGTGACAGGCCAGTCCGTGCCACCTTACCTGCGCTTCGTGGGCTCTGTCTCCGTGAAGCCGGGCCCTCACTTCCTTTGTGAGTTTAAAGCCTCGAAGGCTTCAGAATGCCTCGATCAGTGTTTGTGCAAGCCAGGCCTTTTTCGAGGCACGCAGGTGGCTTGCTTTTTGTTTGGCTTATGCGTGGAAACCCGCCCACTTTGCTGGAATCAGTCTTTCAGAAGATCTCGGAAATGGAATCATCAGATGTTCGCATAAGTCCTGAAGCCCCACCTTTCCTGCAAGCTACTCTTCTTGCATCAGCGTCGCGCCAAGGCCCTTGAGCACGGATACGGTCCTGCAACTGGCCACGCAGCTGAATTTAGAGACCTTCCGGCTCCCCAGTACAGCTTTGTTTTTTGGCTTCAGGGGTGTGGGAGTTGGGCGACGCTGAACTGAACACTGCAAAACTTACGGGGAGACGTGTTACGACATCTGGGCCCTGCATACTTGAGACAAGCCCTATGTGATCCCCACAAACTCGTGCTTAATTATGTAGAGCCCGTATAGGTCTGTATAATCCCTACACAACCCTATGGCCCTGTACACATTAGAATCCTTTTTACATCCCTGCATATCCAACGCATCATGGCTGGACGTGCTGTAACCTGAGAGCCGATCCAAACCTGACGTCGCCTAGCCTGGGGTATTCCTGGGAGCATTTTTATCTACATGGACTATAACCCATGTGTAACCTTACATAACCCGCGAGAATCCGATGCATTAAGGCCACTGAACTTATCCCAGGAGCCGCAACAGTGCAACGCACGCGTCGCCGCTTCTCAAAAGCTCAAGCTGAAGTTCGAACATCTCAAGGAACCCCGCCAGCTCGGTAGTTATCGTGTGGGTACCCTTACAGGAAGCTTATATATACCGCATGTAGCGCCCGCGCCCTTATTTGGGGGTACCCACCTGGTATCTAGCCACCTGGGGCGTTTTTAACGCTCAACAAGAAGCTCTGTAAGCATCCAAGCTTCTGGAATCAGCATCCAAACTTGGTGCTTGAGGGAGATTGGGGTAGTGGATCCTTACAATAAGCCCGATATGCCCCCAATTTATACCCCTATAATACCCCCCCTTTTCCCCCCAACCTTAAGCACCAGTAAGTTGTGAGGTCCACGAGATCTGGAAGGAGAAGACCAAGCACGTTTTGGTTGAGGCAGCCGTCGAAGTTGCAACTAGTCATCCCCTCCCCCTCATACCTAACCCCCCCCCAACACCCTTAATTTAGATATTCCAACGTATAATCGCATACCACATTGGGATTTTTCATGTTGGGGGTGCTGGGGGGTTAATGGAGACAGAAACTATCATGGTAATAAGCCCAGTCATGCCCGTCATGCTGTCCAAACCTCTGGACCTGCTCACCCCGATCCTGTAGTTGTATGTTGCAAAAGGGGCCCCCATTAAGGGTTCAGAGATATGCGGCAAGAGGGGAATCTTTTGTGGTTCATAGTGGTCGTTCCCCGCAGCTGATAGTCAACTCTTTGTCAAGCGTAGAACGTCTTCTGCTCCAAGCCGGTACATACAGTTCCACACAACTGGAAGCCAAGCTGAATTGAATTGTTTGTGCGCTCCAAGTCCTGGCGCCTGTTGCATATTGCTCTCAAGTCTACTCCCCAAATCCTAAACCCTAAACCCTCGAAAAATCCTCAGCTCCATATCCTACACGGTTTAAACTCTGCTTTGCCCTTGCCTGGCAGCCTTGAACAGCCTTGGAGACAGCGCTTATAGGGATATGCAGGAAATGGCAAACAACATGGAAATCACCGTACGACAATAGGGTGGAATGGTGGGTAAGAAAATGGAAGCTGCCATTTGGGTTTAGGGTGTAGGGAGCATGCGAGAAGACAATGGAAACCAGTATATTGCAGGTTATATAGGGGATTATGATGGAAAGGAAAATGAAAGGCATTTAGAGTTTAGGGTTCAAGAATGATACTGCCACCCTCTAAGTAACGGGAAATCAAATGGCACAGAAACTCGGATATCAAGTCTAAACTGGGGTTGAATCGGCATGTTTCGGGCGTGGCGCTATTGATGCTACAACTCACGAGACAACTTTTACTTGGCTTGGCTACGTGCCCCGTGACCGGCAGGAGGAGAATGGGCGGCCGCAGATGGCGTTGGACGTGTTCCTCAACGAGAGGTTCCTGCACCTTCCCCAGCCGCAGCATGAGCCGACGCATGAGTTTTTATAGTGCCATAGTGCTGTCAAGTCTCACAAGCTCAGCGTCTCAGACCGCCAAGGCTGCAAATCACCTTCCAAACTTGCATTTCGGTCCCTGAACATGTTTTGGGTTGCCTGCTTCTCCTGATGGAGCTTAGGCCCACAAGGGCTGCCAGCCGCCCACACCAGTCCCTGCCCAAGTGAGAGCGGAAAGTGTGCTTCGTCATCAGATCTGCCACGCTCCGCCCATGCGTTGGAATGATCCACTGAATACGCCCCAGCCAAATTCTGGATGGTTTTTCTCGGCAGACTCCAGGAAGTTGGTTTTTCCGGACCTTTTCCACTAGTAAGCACTGGGCCCTCGAAAACGCTGGGTTTGTGCTGTTCTGGACTTGCCTGTTCACGTTTTAGCTGAGATTCGAAGGTTTTGCAAGTAATTAGGATCTGTGAGTTTGGCCCTGCGGTGCCATTCTCCATGATATCGGGCCTGCATGGATCACAGAAATCGATGAGAGGTGTTCCTAAATAACTGCTTTCCCATATGCTGCAGGTCAGGTCGGCCTGCAAGACTTGCCTGCCGATACTGTACTATAACATATTATCATATACTATCATATACTAGAATATATTAGAATACTATACTATACTATAGTATACGATCATATATTAGAATATACTAGAATTTACTATAGTAATTCTCAATTCAGGTTGGAGAGCCTTAAACAAAAGAGAAGGTCCAGAACTCCTGCGGTCAGGATGGAAGTGATGTACAACTTCCTCTTGGCAGTGCCTGGACCTAAGCTGTTTGAGCATCGGCAGAGACCAACAAGTTCCACTCGCCCAAAAGAAGCTCCTCCTGCAATTTAGACGCTTACAGGACTGTGGTACTAGATTCCTTGTATAATGACTGTAGGTACCTCAAGTAGAGCTCAACATGATATGAGTAATTATGCAGGCACCTATAGTAGCCCAAAATCATCTGAGGCGGCAGAGCACAACCCTACAGGATCCTACCAAAGAAGAAAGTCCCAGCCTCAGAAGCGTAGGGTTTAGGGTCTAGGGTTTAGGGCCTACATCCCAATGCGATGCTTGTTGGTTGTTGGGCAGAATTGTCAGTTTCCACAAAGAAGAGGCCCTTTCCTTTTATGAAAATATAACCCCAAGAAAACCTTACCCGGCCCCTTAAAACAGTAAGTCCCATCTACTGCAACCCTTATACAGCCCTCTTATAGCTCCGACATACCTCCCAATGTATGTTGTAGGTCAGGTGAGACGGTGCAACAAGATGCAAAGCAGCTTTCCACTCTTGCGGCTCGCAGTTCCGAGGTGATGCCCTGATGCAGAATATGCATCTCGGAATGCAACAGTACAGAGGGCAACCCATTGCCAAAGGCGTTGACTGTAAATCGCAGCTTTCATCATGCCGGAGGTTAGCAATGCATCTTCTACTGCACTTTACTGAGTTAGCTTTGCAAGAGGCCATCTAGCCATACAAGAACGAATGTCACCACAGCATGTATGCCTCGTGCTAGGAACTCCTTCTTCCTGTTTCTGACCAGAAGTCCTCTTGCCTCATATTCTATACGTCGCGTCTCCCGTGGTGTCCTGAGGCCCCTGGTGGGAAAGTGCATACCTCAGTGCGCTTATGTTGAAGTTGCTATTTCTTTCGCGGCTGTCTGCAAGGCTTGTCAAGGCTTAGGAAGTATTACGAGGCTGCTGTAGGATCTGTTTGAATTATCAAGCTCGCTCTTCAGCACCAGTCAATTGTATCTTTGAGTTCTATACAGATGGCTGCGTTATCTTCATGCATGTGTGCTTGTTCGTTTCTTTTTGCAGTCCCCTTGATTTGGCTCGGGCTGAAGAACCTTTTCAGGCACTGCCAAGACAAGTGTAGGTTGACAGCAGAAAAACAAGCCTGGAACATTTTTTCCTTCAAACACGGGCGTAGACGTCAAAGTAGGGAAACCATTTGCCCTGCTAGACGCTCTTGCAAGCACCAGAGTCTTGCCAATGGCCCTCGGTTCTCTTGTGAAAATTTCTTGCAGGCGGCAGAGCCGCGTAGGCCG